CTTTCCATGGTGTGGGAGAGGTGTCCTGACGTTGTGGTGCTCCCAGAGCCCAGGCCTGGTGATCCTGGTGCCACTGGAAGAGTGCAAACCCCGGGGGGCGAGTCCTGCTCCAGGCTGGGCCTGGGACTGGATTTGGGGAGCCCCAGCCCAGGGTCCCTGCAGAGCTGGGGGGCAACACATCCCCAGGGAGAGGGGACACATTCCTTGAGGCTCCACCACCAGTGGGATTGGGGGGAATGTCACAAAGGGAACTGTGACATCACCAGCTCTGAGGTGGTGCCAATGGAACCCCTGCCTGTGGTGGAGGGTCTTACCAGGCACCTCTGCCCTGCCCCAAAAAGGACCCAGACGTGCCTTGCTGGGGCAGGTCCTGGGACTGGTTGGCTCTGTCTGTACCCTGAGAATGCCCCCTGTGCCCACACAGCAGTTGTGGCCCTGTTGCCTGGCCTGGCCCCTGGCAGTGCCGGGGTGGGGCAGAGGCCAGAGCGGGATGTCCTTGGGACATGTCAGGAGCTGGGTTGGGTCCTGCAGAACAGTGTGGGTGGTGATGGTGGCCCAGGTGGGATCCCTGCATTGCTGGGAGGCTCTTCAGACCCGGTAAGAGGAACTGGGAAGGGGTGGATACAGGGGGGGAGACACCTCCAGCCCCAGTGATGGGATTTTCTGCCTCTGTGTGCTGAGCGAGTTCAGTCCCACCAGGATGCCCAAGGCTGTTTGAGCAGCATGTAGGTGACACTGAGCCACCCAGCTGACACCAGGCCACAGGACCTGTGTGGTGTGGTCACTGTCTGGCCGTTTGCAGCACAGATCCAGCTGCTTTTCCAACAGGGAAGCCCCAGCAGTGCTGAAACCTTGTATTGCCTCTGTGCTCCTTCTACTGATGCTTTGGGGAAACTCCCAAATGAAGCATAAAAATGCAATTTCCTAATTTTCTTCCTCCTGCTGCCCCTAAATCTGGTGTTTTTACCAGAGAGGACCAGATGAGTTTGTGCAAAGACCCAGCAGTGGCTCAGAGCGAAATTTGTATTTGCTTCTTGCAGGCTGATGGGAGGGGAATAGAATTCGGTGATTGGTTTTGACAAAATGATACATTTGCTGATGAAGCAGCCATTTCACAAATTAAATTGCTGGCTGGGCACCCTGGGGCTTTCCTGGCTGAGGTTCCTAGCGGGGCAGGGTAGGGGAAAGGCTGATGAGATGTAATTAGTGATGGAGGAATGAGGAGGGAGCAGGAAGGATATGCCCTTTCCTAGGGAGCTGTAAATCCCAGCAGTGAAGCTGGGACCAGGTGGAAGATGGAGTGGGTGGTCTGGATCCTGCCATGGACAAGCAGTTCAGGTTGTTCCTGTTTTTCCCATGGAAGATGGAACAGGAGAGAGTTCTGCTGCTGGGAAATGGTGCTGGGTTGGTGCTGAGAACACGAGGTTACAGTGTGTGAGTCCCTGAAGGGTGTCCTTGCTGCACACAGGGCTTTTTGGCCTCTATTTCCAAAGCAGATGGAGCATTTTCCTAACTCTGAGAGCCAAATTGACTAGGAATTGCTGGGGAGAATGATGAGAGGCAGCTGAATCTTATCTCTGCACTTCAGGCTTGTTTCCAGTGTTCAGCACAACGTGTTTAAAGAGCTGAAAAGGAGATTGATAAACTGTGTCTGACTTGACAGTGATTACCAAGGCAGTGCCAGGCAGGTCCAGAACAGGAGAAGAGGTGATCCTGGTGCTGCCAGATGCCAGTTCACACCTGGTAGCAGCAGGGACTCTTGAGATGAGTGGAATGAGGACAAATACAAGGACAGAAATGCTCAGGAACAAGCCCTGGTGCATCTGCAGAAGAAGAGGGGCAACAAAGGTAAAGGTGGTGCTGGGTCAGACTGAGCCTCTTCCCCCACTGAGGGTGGCAGGGTGAGCCCCCTGTGTCACTGTTTAGCTGGCCTGGCCCCACAGGAGCCCCTGTTTGCAAGAGCAGCCCCACAACAAATGTGGGCTGGTGTCCAACCACACCTTGGAGCTCTCAGCCACCCCAGGCAGGGGCTGCTGAGGAGGACCACGGTGTGTGGAGCCTCCTTCCTCCTGGAAGGCAGCCCCAGTGAGGCTCGTGGGCACCAGCCGTGCCCAGGGTGTGCTTGAGCTCGGCCCTTCTCCCTGCAACTGCTGCTTTCTCAGCTCCTCAGCCACTTTCCCCTCTCTTGGTGCCCCTTCCTCGGAGGGTTTCAGCTTTAGTTGTGGGGGTTGGGGTTTGACTCCCTGCCCATGCTGGCAGAGGTGTGTGGGGTTGGAGGTACCTGGCACAGCCCGGTCTGCCAGTGAGTGCTGGTACCAGGGGGATGTTTGGCGTGTTCCTGCAGAAAGGCATGTTTGAACAATTCCTTAGGGAAATGGGGTCTCACAGGAAGGTTTCCTTGGCTCTTCGGATCCCCACAGACAGGTCAGGCAGAGCTGGGTGCTGCTGTGTTGCATCAGGGCTAAAGCTTCTCTGCATTAGATCAGCTCCATGTGCCCCGTGCTCCCAGTTTGTCCTGGGCCTGGAGTTCTTCCCAGAGCTCCCCTGGGAAACTGCTGTATTTTCTGCCCTCCCTTTTGTCCCTGAGCTGGACAATGGTGCCAGCTCTGCCCTGCTGAGTGTGTTGAGCCTCTCCTCTGGTCCCAGCAAATCCTGGGAAGAGCCCAGGATTGTTGGGGTGTCCTGGGCAGGGCCAGGGGTTGGACTGGATGATCCCTGTGGGTCCCTTCCAGCTCAGGACATCCCCTGATTCTGTGATTAGACCCAGCTTTTCCTGAGTGCACCTGGTCAGACCCCGAGCTGGGAAGTCCTTCCCACCCCCAGAGTTCCTGTCACTGGTGGCAGCTCCAGCCAGGACACCCCCAGTGACAGGACACCTGCAGAGGTGTTTTGCAAGCAGCTCTGCAAGCGTTTAATCTGATGTTTGCTGACATAATTGGTGCTTGAAAGCCTTTGTTTGATCGAGCAAACAGGTTTCTAATCCTCTGTGGAGGAAACTGAGCCGGGGGAAGAACTAGTCCAACCTGAGCTTTACTTTGAAAGCCCAAAAGTCAGTTTGGTTTCGTAGAAACATTGCCTGGAGTGGGAGGATTAATGACTAATCGTGGTTTCATTAATTCTAATGCTTTCACTTTCAGTGGGGAGTTCATCTAATGGTAGTATCATATAATTACACAGAGATCAGCTCTGTCTCCTGCAGAGAGCTGGGGCAGAAAAAGAGAATTTTGGGGTAATTCTGTCTGGCTGAGATGAGCTGGAGGGGCAGAAGGAGGTCCTGGTCTCTGAATCAGGCCCCACACTCTGGGCTGACAACCAAGGAGCAAACAACCAGGGATTTCCACAGGGCATAATTTGTGATTAGGGGTGAAAAGTGTCAATGCAGAGGAAACAGGACTTCGTGGCAGGAAATGTCGCATTTATTCAACTGGAATCAGCAGCAATCGCCACAGACACAGCCTGGCTGCGTCCCACTCAGATTTAACAATGCATCTGTATCTCATCTCTTGTCATAATTATAAATAGAAATATTTTAATTAATTTAAGATACGAAATATTTTAGTTAATTTAAGATATTTACATTTCAAAAGCTAAGTCGTGACAAAGCTAAAATCTAGGTGAAATTTCTAAGGCTACAACAGTCAGTCCACAAAAATCTACAAATTAGTATAATTTTAAGCCTTTTTCAGAAAACTGACGTTAACACTGAAGGGCCTTGCAAACTGCAGCTCTGTAGAGCAGAATTTTACCTTTTCGTGGTCTTTATTCTCTGTTGATTGTGCAATAGTTTAAAATACTGCAGTGCTTTAAAAAAAACCACTTTCCTCAGCATCTGCATTATTGGCAGTTTCCTGTAGTATGAAAATAATTCTGGCAATAGTGCAAAGATTCATCTCAAGATGAGAGAAAATGCTGAAAATAATTTATTAAAGAAACATTTTTCTAGTATTTATAAATATTCTTCCTTCATCAGTGGACAAACAGGTCTGTGAGGACCCAACTTCATCTGTCAGTGCACTTTTCCTGTGCTCAGGTGTGGGAAGTACAACCCGTACAAGCCTTGCTGGACCTGGTATAGGTGGGACTTCCTTCTCAGGCAAGAGACGACCTGGAGAGAAAAGGACAAAATTAATGGCAAAAATAGGAATCTGTGCTTTGCCCATCATTAGATGCCTCCAAACTACATTTGGAGGGTGGGAATGGAGGGACTTTGGGAATGAGATATTTGTCTAAAGCTGCCAGGATGACACTGGCACAACCCCCAGCTCTGAGATGGAGGTTTTTCCTCTCCTAAATCTCCCTGGTTGGAATTTTCACTCCTGAACCTCTAAGGAGAGTAATTCTTATTCTCTGTAGATATAGCCCTTCCCTTCAGCTGCTGCAAAGCAAACAGCTGCTTTTGAAACAGTGCTGTTAAGATTTTGATGCCCATTAAACCATCCCCAGAGATGGGAAGGGGGGGTACTGACTTTTCCAAGGATATACAGCTGGAGTTTGGCCCTGCAAGGCTGCACAGTCTACAGGTTAAGAGCACTGAGCACGAAATTCTTGATGTGGTTATGAAATATGTTGTCTTTGGCCCTCCCTTGCCTGTAACCTGATCATTCTGCAGATACTGAAGAGGGAAGAGGTTTAAGAAGTGCTGCAGGGGATGCCCTAATTCCACCTGTCACCTTGGGCTTGGCCTCACCTTTGGGTTTCTGTTTTTCTCTCTGCAAAAACTCGAGCTCAGTCATGATCCTGCTGCTTTTCTAGAAAGAAGATCCTGCTTCCTTTCCTAGAAATCTACTCAGCTGACTATAAATTCCCTTCCCCATCCTCCTGTGCTCAAATCCTTGGAAGAGTTGGCAGTAACCACAGGATTTGGCATCTCACTTGCTGTTGGGGTGTTAAATACTGTTGCCACTGGGCTTCTTGGGAATGTGAATGTCCCTCCTGTGAGTCCCCAGATGTCTGGGCACTGCTGGAGTCCAGGGAGAGGTAGGACAGCGAAGGGGACACTCACCAGGAAGCATAAGAAGAGGAGGAGGATGAAGCCAAGCAGGGTGAAAACGCAGATGAGGATGATGGCCCAGAACTGAAGCTCTGCAAAGGGAAAATAAGAGCACATCAGATGTTTGGACTCATCCACAGGGGATTCAGAGTGGGAAATCTCTCCCTGGCAAAGTTCAACAGTGCTGAGGCCAAATTACAGAAACTTGGGTAAAATGGAGTGAGGGCCTGAGGATCTACCACTTTAAATGTGAGAGTCTGAGCCCTCAGAGGGTTTCAAGAATGTTCAGAGAGACAAAGTTCTCTCTTAGCTGCTGGCTGGACTCTTCTGGGGAAGGGGACAGGGCTAAGGGTGGCAGCAAAAGCTGTCATTTTGCCAATGTGTTTGTGGTGCAACACTTCAGAGTACTTTTTTTCTTTCTCCTGTTTACTGTTAGCTCTGGGGTGGTGGCTGTCCTTACAACACCATATCTGGGGATTTTTAGGGGTTTTTTTTATAAATACTGCAGTTATAAACATTTATTGGTGCCAGAGCTTTAAAACATCTTCCCACATTGGACTGGTTTTGCCTGTCCTTCATCTCCTCAGGCTGGCTGGCTCTGGTGGTACCCACTGTTTGCTGCCAGCCTACCAAGAGGCCCAGATTTTGGGTCTCTTCCATGGGTTTAGTTTCCATTTCAAGGGTCTAGTCTGCATTTCAAGGCATGTAATGCTAATTTATTCTAGTCCAAGTCTGCAGTGGCTGTAGGGTGAATCCCTCCCAAAAAGCACTTACCAGATCTTTCAGACTCTGGTTCATTTGTCTTGAGTGGAGAATAACCTGGAAATAAAGAATGGGACAGATGAGAAACAGAAGCCTCTGGAGCTTATTAAGACCAAGAAGAATCCCCCAAATGTCACTGCAGAGCTCTCACCTTCAACAACCAGACTCTGCTCCTCCAGCTCGTAGCTGGGGCCCAGCTTGGTGAACCCCTGGGTCAGTTGTTTCAGCTCCTCAAACACCTCTTGCTTTTGTAAAGACCCTGAGAGGGGATCCAGGGTGAACTTGCAGATGGAGAAGACTTCTGTGTATCCTTTCCCATGGACAGGCCTGGAGAGTGACAGGCACAGAGTCATTATGGAGAAGAGAGGAAGAAGCAGAGCTGAGTGGGAGATTCAGGTTTGCAGATGTCTCAGCGATGTTTTATTAGCAAGGGATCACTTTTTGAGTTTATTCCAGGCAAGACAGGAGCTCTTGCAGCCTTGTGAAACCACCCACTGAGTTAATCCCCATTTCTAAGAGGTAAATCAACTCGGCTTCTTTGTTCCTCCAAAGAGGTGTTGGAGGAGACACACACAGCAGATCCTGTCCTTAGGCAGGGTCAGTCCCACTCATTGTTTTGCTAATGTGTGTCTGTGGAATTTTAGTGTATTTGAGTACTTGAAATAAGAGAATGAACGTGTTTGTTTTCCTCCGGAATTGTTTATGCTGTGCAAGCACGGAAACAAAACCACCTCTCCTTTGGACAGAAACCTTTTGTGGTAAAAGCAGAACTTGCATGAAGGTGCTTCCTGTGTGTGATCTGGAGCACAAAGGTCCCCAGGGAGGCGTGAACTCCCTGCTGTGACCCTGAATGCCTTCCTGAACTGCTCTTTGGGGCTCAAGGAAAAGCCACTTCCAAGCAGGACTTACCCAAAACTCTCCACGGTACAACCGGCAAAGTGCTCCTTCAGGCGGCCGGTCCTGAACACCTCGAGCTGACAGGAAACACAAAACAGTGGAGGAAAACAGTCAGTTGAACACATCCTTTGGACAGGGAGCTCGAGCTACTGCTGCTCAGTTCACCTCTTTCTCGATGTTCTCTTTGTTCACTCGGTACACGTGTGACCTGGGGTCCTGCAGCTGTGGCGAGAAGGGCAGGCTGGAGATCTGGAAATTCAAGCCAAAGTTTTCTTTCCCAGACTTGAGGGGTGTTTTGTAAGTTGCTGCCTCAATTGCTAATTCCAAGGCTGGAAAATGGAGGGGAAAAGTCAGTATAAATTCTAACAGAGAGAAACTGGGGCTCTTCTACCAAAGACTTTCACTACTCTGACAGGAAATTCCCAATCAGTCCTTCAGCTACTCCTTTATTTGGGATGCTGTACGTTGGAAAAAAACCCTGAAAGTCTGTTTATCTCTAAATGGTTGAAGTTCTGATGAGTAGTTGCCACTTCATTTTCTAATTATTTAATATTGAATAACACCTTAAAAATTAATAACACCTTAAAATTGAATAACATTTTAAAATTGAATAACACCTTAATATTGAATTACACCTTAATACTGAATAACACCTTAATATCAAGTAACTACTTATCACTGAATAAGATCTTAAGCCATTGAAGACTCAAGGGCTACACTGAGCCAGACTAAATGTCTGAATGGCCCAACTTAGAGCTGAACTCAGCAGTTCAACTTAAAACCAGATTTATTTCCACTCTGATAGGCCAGAAATTGGGGAATTCTGAGCATTCCATGGCAAAGTGAGGTGACTGGGTGGACACTGGGCAGAGATTTGAGCTCTACGTACTGTCCACTGAGAATTCCTGCAGCCTGTAGCTGCTCCCCAGCCACAGCCCAGTTTCATTGGAAGTCCCGTCCTGGAAGGTCCTTTCAACCACGGCCCTGTTGATGTTGGGTTCAGGGTGGAAGAAACACTGGCAGTCGACCACTATGGATCCAGCCCTGTGGGCAGAGGAACGGAGGTTCTGTGGTAAAGAGGCTGATGATCACAAAACTTCACGTGGGAAAGAGTTTCCTGAAAGGTTCCTGCTCTGTTTGGAAGTAACGGGGTGGAATGATGGCGTGGAATGGGCTGATGGGGGGGTTTGCCTTGGGCAGGGACAACAAAGGAAATACCACCTGTTCTCTCTAGGAACTTAGGCTTTACTGCATGAACACAATGAAAGATCAGCAGTTTGGGGTTTTTAAGAGCTTTTACCCTCTGGGAGGGTCCCTTGTCCAAGCCTCTTTCCACCCAGAGCTGGACACTACGGCTATACCTGAAGCCCACTTTTAAAGCCTAGTGGAGTTCAAGTGAAGAGGGGGAGTGCAGAGGTTACAGGATCATCAGTTCCCATTAAGAGGATGGGAATCAGTAATTCCTGGGATAGTCAGCAACCTGAGAATGCCTGACTGAGACTGAGAAAAATATCAGTTTATAACAAGTCAGAAAAAATTCAAAACAACAAATGAAGCCTAGAAATTACTTCTTAGGGCATAAAGTTCCAACATGAGAAGGAAGGGGAGGAATTCCACAGGGGACAATGGCACTTGGCCATGGGGGAGGGGTGCCAGGGAGTGGGAACCCTTCAACCACACTTAGATCCCACCCCAGACCTCAGGTGGGTGATGTTGCAGCCCAGGAACTGGTCCCGCAGGTCGCTCTGCCGGTACAGCTGATTCATCTGCAACACAAATGTCATGGTAAAGATTCATGAGCCCAGGGCACTCTGCAAGGTGCTTCAGGCCAGCAGGAGGGACTTGAATGCTGGGGAAAGCCCAGGCTATGGGGGGTTTTTTTGCTGGTTGGATTTCATGGGAGTTGGTTTTGACTTTGGAACGTGCCTTCTGGTGATGGAATCTGACTCCCAGCCTGGCAGATCTTCTGCCTTATCTGAGCGAGCTGCCAGTGTTAAAAGAGCCCAGTCTGCTGACTGGCAGCTGTCAACTCATGCACACCTCACACACCCAGAATTCCAAGTACAGTGTGTTACAGTTTCACCTAAAGAGCAAAATTAGGGCGTGATCAGTCTGGTAGGTTGGGTTGGGGCTGAAGGGAATGTGTTGGATTCTCAGCAGTGAGTTATGGGTGTGTTGACTCCAAGCTGGCAGGGATTTGCAAACACTTCTGGAGATGGGACTGAAATGCTGAGTCCCTGTGCATGGAACAGATCACCCAAACCTCCTGTATTTCATTGTCCATGTCTTTGGCTGGACATAATTTATTAATCCAGATTCCCAGGATTGTTTAGGTTGGAAGGGACCTTAAAGATCATCCAGGTCCAACCCCCTGCCATGGGCAGGGATGGCACCCACGAGGTGCAACATCCAACATAACAAAAAGTGATTCAAAGGTCAGTCTCATCTTTCAGATTCTAGAAATTTTTGTTCCTAAATGTTGATTTTTTTTTTAATTAAGACATAAAACTATGGCAAAAAATTGACCAAACATGGTGATATTTGAGCTGCAATTCCTCACCTTGTTAGTGATGCTTTCCACTGCTGCTTTGTACTCTGGAGACTGAGAGTCTGGGTTGGTTAGATTTTCATTGACTATTCTAAAGCTCAGTCTGTAGCCCTGTTTGGCTGGAGCTTCAACAAAGACTGGCTTTCTGGTGGTAGCTGTTTCTGTGAGGGGAAAACCTAAATAGAAAAGACAGAGTGCATTTATTTTTACATCAGATCTATCCATACCATAAAAACAATATATGTGTGGCTCTGCTTAGATTATATAATATAATAATGACATTCTCCAGGAATTTGTATGATTTAAGGGTTGGAGATGCTTCTAGAATGGCAAGATGCTGCTGGATTGGCTTTGCCACAGTGTCAAAACCTACAGAAAACCAACAAACCAGAGGGTTCCTCGGTGCTCTAGCCCCAGTGGAGTGATGGGGAGTGATCTCCAAGAGATCCCAAAATCCTGATCTGTTCATGGATACTCACCATTGACATACAGGCTGTTCTGGTCCAGGCTGTAGTGCCCCAGTTTGGTGACACCCTCTGTCATGGTGCTCAGCTCCTGATAAACCTGTTCCCTGTCAAACCTGGCCAGGCTGGCACTGTCCTGGTAGCTGCAGATGGCATCTACTCCTGTGTCATCCCTGTGTCTCCCAGACCTGAGCAAAAACATCAGACACATTCTTTAGGACACTCTGTGTGATTTGTATGACCAGGAATGACACCAAAATCACTGTAATGGGGCTCCTACATCTTTCACCACACTTTAGAATTGTGCTGATGACATTTAGATCCCAAAATGATTTTACCATCATGAATGGACAGGGAGGTGTCCACAGGGAGGCTTCTCTATTCTGACATCAGAACAAGTATGATAATTTATGCAAATTTACGGTATGTAAGAGCAGATAAAGGTTAATTCCACTTTCAGGAGTCTTTTAAGGTACTTTCAGATACTTTTAGTATCAGAAAAATAAAGATACTTTCAGTATCTTTATTAGGGAGGTGTCAGGGGGCGGAGCCAGACTTCTCTTGGTGTCAAGTATTAGGATGCAACAGGCAGGAACTGATGCCCAGGAAGTTCCACCTGAACATGAGGAAGAACTTCCCTGTGCAGTGACCAAGCACCGAGAGAGGGTGTGGAGCCTCCCTCCCTGGAGATATTCCAGAACCATCTGGACACGCTCCTGTGCCATGTGCTCCGGGCACACTGTGGGCCCTTCCAACCTGACCCATCCTGAGATTCTGAGTCTTACCTGAACCTCATAGTTTTACATCCTGTGTAGGCAGAGCTTACGCTGCTTCTTTTGAACAGAGGGTCAATCTGTCAGGGGAAACAATAGTACAGCTGAGAACTGGAAATCGGGTGCTGAGCTTAATGCAGGTGGATTAAGGGCAGCACCAAACCCCCAAATGGGCAAACCCAGAGCCAGACTCACATAGTGGTTGAGAATATTCACTGTGGAAATGAATTTGCGGGAAGTTGGGACATCCAGGTCTGGGGTGTACGGGAGGTTGGTCAGGGTGAAGTTAAGGGTGAACTTCCTGGTTGTTGGTCCTGATGCAGTAGTTGTGCTTGGAGCTGTAATCAAAGGGAAAAAGGATTATGAATTTATTACAAAAGAGTTACCTTCACTTTCAAAGACGTTCCCAACCCCAGCACGTTTCAAGGCTACTCTGGATAATGTCTTCCCCTCTCAATAATCTCTTCCCCTGTTATTTTCTGAGCGCACCACTCCTTTGACACCTTTCCCTGGAGTGAATTCAGCAAAATACGTACCTGATCTCTGAAGTGGTTCGTTGTAACCTGGAAAGGAAATGCAAGAGAAATGTTATGTAAGAGAACCATCCACTTAAGAGAATGAAAGTGGAGAGGGGATGATTAAATGGATGACTTGGGAGTGAATCATCAGAACCTGCCCGCTCCCCCCCCCCAGGGTGTGAATCTGTTAGACAAACAAAGCTTAAGCAGAACAAGGTGCTTTTGTAAGACTGGTGACTACAATGAGAAAACAGCCGTGCTGCTGTGTAATTAAATACTGGTGGGATAGAAAGCAGGTGAAATGTTCACGTGCAGGTGAATGACTGAGGTCAAGACTAAAATTAAGTCACTCTTCAATGCCATATAGAAATTAAAGTCTTCAAAAATGTCTGTGTGAAAAGATTTTAAAGGTTACACTTCATCTTACACAGAAAACTCCAGTGGGATCTTCTCCTTCAGGCCACTTTTTTAACATTGAAGTGATCCCTGAGACCCCAGGTGGTCCCAAACTGCTCAGTGCCCAGAGGAACAAGAAAATCAAACACTTACCATTGATATAGAGGCTCTTGCTGTCCAGGCTGTAGATTCCTAACTTGGTGATGCCGCTTGTCATGTTCCTCAGTTCTTGGTAAACCTCAGCTGAGTTAAACGTGGGCACTTGGGAGCTGTTTCTGTAGCTGCAGGTGGTGTCTACTCCTGTACTATCCCTCTTCTTCATTGCCCTAAGGAATTCAATATCATGAAACTTCTGTTAGTTATTAAAAAATATATTTTTTTTCTGATGTGATTAAAAAAAACCCAAATAAATCTGTCCACAGTCCTCAGATGAACTACAAATGTATGGTCTTACAAAGAAAAAGGCTTTGTAAGAAAAAGACAATAGAAAGGTGCATAGGAGCTTTATTATAGTGATGAAAACAACTTGAAAAGGAAAAGGAAAAGAGGAAAAGGAAAAGGAAAAGGAAAAGGAAAAGGAAAAGGAAAAGGAAAAGGAAAAGGAAAAGGAAAAGGAAAAGGAAAAGGAAAAAGAAGTATCAGTCAAACTTAAGGAAATCCATTTGCTGCAGTTCAAAGTTAATCTTTCAGTTTATTGCTCACCTGAATCCTGTTACTTTGCAGCCAGAGAAATAGGGGCCAATGCTGCTCCTCTGAAGCAGGGGGTCAATCTGACAAGGAAAAATCTTTGTGAACAGGGGAAACCCCAAATTCTGGGTGATTTCAGTGACAAACAACGTGACTTTGGCTTACGTAGTGTCGCATTATCCTCTCAGTGGAACGGAATTTGGCAGAGTTTGGTGTCTCCAGGTCTCTCGTGAACATGAGGTTGGTTATGGTGAAGTTGAGGGTGAAGTGCTCTGTTGTTGGTCCTGGATTTTGTGGGGGGGTTGGTTTCACCACTGAGAGAACAAAAACCACCCAGATTAAATAAGAACAGAATCTCCATAAGACACAGGGCTGTTATTAAGTTTTGAGAGCAAAGAGCCATATGAGCGTGATCGTACACTTTGCAATGTTACAAACATTGCCAAATCAGGGGGAAGCAAACTCAATTTATGCCTTTGAGTAGCTTTAACATGTCTTTAAATATACTTACATGACAGACTGTGTGGTTCATTGTAATCTGAAAAACAAATGGACAATTATTGGGAAAATATTCCAAGAAAGTCTCAGCAGGACTAAATACATGGGGTTTTATTACAAGATTGTAGTTATTGAATTCATGACTTGTAACTTTGTGACTCTGACAGGTTTTTGCCTTCTACTTTTTGTTATCTGCTTTTGAGAGGTGTATGAAAATCCTCTTCATTTTCATTTCAAATTACTCTGTGTCAACACTGAAGGTTGGACTTGATGATGAGAGGCCTTTTCCAACCTTAACGAGTCTACGATTCTAACACAGAATCCCAGAATGGTCTGGGTTGGAAGGGACCTTAAAGATCATCTCATTCCAACCCCCTTCATTGGACAGGGACACTTTTCACAAGACCAGGGTGCTCAGAGCTCCATCCAACACGGCCTTAAGCACTTCCAGAGATGGGGCAGCCACAACATCATTGGAATAACACTTGGGGTGGTTTGTTACCATCAATGTAGAGGCTCTGGCTGTTAAGGCTGAAGTGTCCCAGCTTGGTGATGCCATTTGTCATGTTGCTCAGCTCATGGTAAATGGTTTCTCTGTTGAATTTGGGACCTGAAGGCTCATCTCTACAGCTGCACATGGCATCTACTGCTGTGTCATCCCTGTTCTTATTTGACCTGGGAAATGAGGCAAAGTTCTAGGTGTCTTAGCCATTATTGAGAAATTCATCTTAACTTTTAGGACATGATCAAAGATATATATAAAAAAAAACACTCAGAGGCAAAACTACCAATTAAAAAAAAACAACACTCAGACATGTGTTGAGTGCTGAGAAATGGGAAGGAACATTTTAAGAAGCAGGTCATGGAGACATGGCTCTTACCTGAATGCCATTACTTTGCACCCAATATAAGCAGGGCCAATGCTGCTTCTTTGGAGTAAAGGGTCAACCTAGAAATTCAACAATAACATGTAATTAGGTCAAATGTCACAGTAAAGGTGAGAGATCAGAGATATTAAAAGAACTAGGCCCAAGCAGGACATGGTTTTGCCTGACTTACATAATAGGACATGACTTTTTCTGTTGACTTGAATTTCCTGGAATTTGGTGTTGCCATATCTGCAGTGAACGGGAGGTTGGTTATAGTGACATTCAAAGTGAAGTTCCTCACTGCTGGTGGCAGAGGTGGTTGTGCATTTTGAGCAGCAGCTGCAATGAGAAAGGAAAGTCAATGCTTGAAAGTCCAATTTATGATCATCACACCAAGAGGAAATGCTATAGGAAAAATTCTCAGATATTCTATTTGGCTTCAAGGTTGGAGAACATGTGGTTCCATAACAGGCTCCTGAATTCTCTGAACACTGTTTTATAAATCTAGCAGAGCTCTTGGTTGCTTGGTCCAACCTGCTTTTTTTGGCTGTTGCTAATGAGCAAAATCTCTTGACACTTCAACAGCTCTTCAAAGGTACTTACATAGCTCAGGCTGCAGCTCATTGTAACCTGTGGGGGGAAGAAAAGGGACATATTTGAGAAACCTGCTTCCAATTTGGAAGGTCTGGCACATGTTTCAATACAGAACTGGAACAGGTTTCTTCTGAGAGGTCCTGTGTAAATATTTGATATGAAAAACTGATTTGATGACAATCTGTGCATAAATGCACATTCATCCTGCTCTATATTGTTGGCAAGCTGCTGCTTTTTTTAGTACTGCACAGAATTTTCCCTTTCCTAGGGATGTTGAGAGGGAATTGCCCATTCGCTAAATCCAGTTTAGAATCCCAGAATGGTCTGGGTTGGAAGGAACCTTAAAGACGACCTTGTTTCAAACCCCTGCCATGGGCAGGGAACCATTTGACTTCTAGACTGGCAACCTCTGTATGATTTTGTCAAGTGCCGTTCAGTTCTAGTGCTGTTCCTTGACCTTGGCAGGTCAATCCTTGTATTTTCCCGGCAATGACCTCTGGTGTGTTTTGATGTTACTCAGTGCAAAGCAATCAGAAGGTCAAAGGCTGTGGGTGACAGTGGCTCCTCTGCTTTGGTCCCGTTTGCTCTTGCTCCCCTGCAGGTTTTATGGCTTCTGTAGTTACAGAATCCCAGAACGGTTTGTGTTGGAAGGGACCTTAAAGATCATCTTGTTCCACCCCTTGCCATGGAGATGCTCCAAGGGCTGGAGCCCCAGTGCTCTGGAGCCAGGTTGGGAGAGCTGGGGGTGTTCCCCTGGAGGAGAGAAGGATCCAGGGAGACCAGAGAGCCCCTTCCAGTGCCTGAAGGGGCTCCAGGAGACCTGGAGAGGGACTGGTGACAAGGAATGGAAGGACAGGACAAGGGGGAGTGGCTTCAAAGAGAAAGAGGGGAAATTTGTGTTGGATATTGGGAGGGAATCCTTCCCTGTAAGGGTGAGGAGGCCCTGGCACAGATTGCCCAGAGCAGCAGTGGTGCCCCAGGCCTGGAAGGGTCCAAGACCAGGTTGGAGAAACCTGGTCTAGTGGAATGTGTACCTGCCCATGGCAAAAGGGTGGAATGAGATGATCCTTAAGATCTGTTCCAACCCAAACCATTCCACCATTTATACAGAAGGAAATAAAATACAAACCAGTATATGAGCATGTCACGTAAATCCAACAAAAAATATGAAAGATACGGTTGATTGGAAGAGCCAAAAAAGTTAGAAAAAAATGGAATTCTTAGTGAAAGAGTATGACAAGAAATAAAATAATATCAGTAAATAGGAAAACAGGAAAATTAGAGAAACTAGAAAAAAAATTGTCACCGTTGACGTAGAGGCTGTCCTTGTGCAGGCTGTAGGGGCCCAGCTGGGTGATGCCTCTGGTCCTGTTGCTCACTTGGTGGTACAGGCCCACCCTGTCCAAAGGTGGAGCCGAGGGCTCCTTCCTGTACGTGCACACGGCGTCCACCCGGGTCTCGTCCCTTTGGCTGCCCGGCCTGCAAAACATCGTGACATTAATGAGCGCCCTTCTCTGTGCCTTCTCACATCAGGACTGGGTCTTGGGACTTCTGCGGCCCTTTCAGGCATGACTTTAGAGTCATCTTAGGCCTACAGTATCAGCAAGTAGAGTGAAGAGCAGAGGAAGACATGGGAACCTCAGAGGCAGGACAGCATCAATATAGAGGTCCTGCCTCCATAGACTAAGCACCAACTGAATACAACAAGAATGGACCCTTTCATCTGAGCAAGGACTTTCAAAGGGACACTGAGGTGCAACTCATACCTGAAGGCTCTTGTTTCACATCCCTGGAAATCGGGGCCAATGCTGGTTTCCTTCAGCAGGCGGTCGAGCTGCCAAGGGGATGCCAAGGGGAGGGTT